ATTACTACTTGAAATATCAAAAGCTAAAAATTAATTATTATGCAAATTAGGTAATTAATATGTACTGATATTACCCTAAACACTACCAGGTCTGTGCAGTGTCATATGACATCTATGTACCAAGTTTTATTGAAATGTTATGATTAGTACTTGAGATATCAGTGGAAAAGCCGAAAATTGATTAATCATTATGTAAATTAGGTAATTAATAATATTAACAGATTTTTACCCAAAACTAATCAAATCTGCGCATTAGTTCAGAGCATCCATGTGCCAAGTTTCATTGAAATCCAATGAGTGGTTCTTCAAATATCAGTGGAACAGTCTTGGAAGAGCTAAAAATCAGCTAATTATCATGCAAATTAGCTAATTAATATTCATAGATTTTTACCAAAACCTAATCAACTCTGCGCATTATCCCAGAGCATCTATGTACCAAGTTTCACCAAAATTTGATTAGTGGTTCTTGAGATAACGGTGGAACAAAAAAAATGACATACATACATACATACATACATACAGACATACAGACAGGGTAACTGCAAAGACTTCCTTTTGTGCTTCGCACACGGGAGTCAAAAATAGGTACTTACTTGCAATAATATCTGACTGAATGGCAAACTTAGAGAGTTTATTTTAAACAAATACTACCATCACGAAGTAACAATGAATAATGAACCTACCTTTCGACAAACCTCGTCTGTAATTCCGTCACTGTTCAATTTTGCCTTAAGACACTCCTCCACTCTACCACCACCAGGCTGATCCAATTCGTCAGGACAAAGACGTATTATCGTTTTACCACAAGCTTGTTTTAACTGCGCATCTAAACGATAGTCCATTGCAGCATCTTGCATAGTAATTCGAATCTGGCCCTCACAGTCTTGAGACAAACGCTGTAGATTACAATAAGCATCAAATATTCAAGACTTACAAAAATAGAAGATAGCTAGGTACCTAGGATAACTAGGTACAGGGTACAAATAGATATCAGTATCAGTGGACAGCTAGGTACTGTACCCGGGGATAACTATGTAACAAGGGGCAGTTAGGCATCAGTATCAAGGGAAAGCTAGGTACTTGGGATTAATTAAGTACCAGGGAAAGACGAGGTACCGGGGAAAGACGAGGTACCGGGGAATGACGAGGTACCGGGGAATGACGAGGTACCGGGGAATGACGAGGTACCGGGGAATGACGAGGTACCGGGGAATGACGAGGTACCAGGGAATGACAAGGTACCAGGGAATGACAAGGTACCAGGGAATGACAAGGTACCAGGGAATGACAAGGTACCAGGGAATGACAAGGTACCAGGGAGTGACAAGGTACCAGGGAGTGACAAGGTACCAGGGAGTGACAAGGTACCAGGGAGTGACAAAGTCCCAGGGAATGACAAGGTACCAGGGAATGACAAGGTACCAGGGAGTGACAAAGTCCCAGGGAATGACAAGTTACCAGGGAATGACGAGGTACCAGGGAATGACGAGGTAACAGGGAATGACGAGGTACCAGAGGATAACAAGGTATCGGTAACAGGAGACTGTTAGGTACCAAAGAGACAGCTAGGTGTCAGGGGATATAGATCGGTACATTGTATCTGGAACTTAGAGTCTGTTATGTACATGGTGTGATAGCTCTGTGTAAGGTATCTGGTGTGGTAACTCTGTAACATGGTGTGGCCCCTGGCACCTGGTGTGGTAACTAGATTGTTGCTATGGTAACTAGATTGTTGCTATGGTAAGGATGAGGGTTAACTATTGCTAAGACTTACATGTTCACGATATTTTATTTTCAAGCATTCAATGATAATTCCTTGGAATTCATCTTCACTTTTACTTTTACTTTTTAGTTCTTCGGCACAGAATTTTGGCACATCTTTAGAGCAAGCTTTTTGCAGCTCAGGTTTCAGTCTGTAGTCAGTATTTTTTGTTATTTGTCGCCTTGTAATCACCATCTTACATCTGTGAAATCAAATACAGAACACCACCAAACTGTTAGAATTCATTTTCTCTTAATTCACATTTAACTCTGTTTTGGTTTTTATTTGATGGAAATTCAGCATTCTTACTTTTGCTCCATAGCTGGTTCATTCTTGTGGTTTTTGAGACAGCGGAAAACATCTTTAGGATTAGAATCAGGACAGAATTGCTACAAAGAAAGAAGTAGTCAATCACATGAATATTTTATTATACATGAACTTTGAATCGAAGCAAAAGATTTATATTTCAGAAAACCAGCTTCATTTTAAGGTTCTAGCTTTCTGATTAAACTAAAATACACATGATGTGTGTGTTACAACGATACATACCTTTATCATTCTCTTGCACACTCTCATAAAAGTGTAATCCATTTCTGGATCCTTAGATTCCATTTTCTGTCTGTTAAATATCTTCACATGACATAAATCTGTCAGAGAATTTTTCTTCTCTTTTAAACACTCTAAAACCTAAAACAGAAAAGCAGCAATGAGTAATGTCAAACACTGCAAATCAAACTTAACAAGTGCCAACTTAATGTTTTTTGTTCATAAACTTACAATACCTAAGTAAGTAATTAATTTACAAGAAGTATATATTTAAAAAGACAAAGCATTAGATAGTCAATTGAGAGGTGGTTTATTCAGACCCTACACGATAGAGAGGTAGAAAACGACTGACTAATAATGAAAGGAAAGACATTGATATACAATATTTTTTATCACAACATGGTACACTTTCTGTGACGTGACATACCAACATATTTTGTCTATCCGTTGTTATTGTTTGTATTTTTGTGCTCTAGTCTAATTTTTACTGATTTATTTTATGTTTTATGTTTGTTGCATGGTCTGATGCTGTTGGATTTCCAATGCAGGCTTTTTGTTCATAAATTCTCATCGCAAACCGTAAATTTAAACCTTTAAGTAGTTTTCCTATCCACTGTAATAAGTAAATAAAACAAGCCATGCATGGCACAGTCCCCGTTAGTTATCAAATGTTAGATATATAGTTTTGTTTATAGTAATATAGCTGGAATATAACCATGTCAGAAATATGATTTTTTAACATTAAAATAATTGACATTTGTATCTAATTGTCAAACAAGTACTTGTCCATATTGAGAGATATTGCTCTGGAACAGCATTCAAAATCAGCCATTTTTAATACATGTTTACAGTACAGTTCTTGCGGAAGCTTTGGCTTTTGTGGCATCATTGTCGCCTACGCATGGCTTCATTGTCGCCTCAGCATCGCATCATTGTGGCATCAGCTTCGCGTCATTGAAAATTGAAGCTGTGTTCGCCTCGCTATTTTGTGACATCATCCTGGCCTCAGCTTTGCAGTCTCATGGCATCAACATAGCATCAGCTT